GGGAGAGGGAGAAGCAGGCTTCCCGCGGAGCAGGAAGCCCGATGTGGGGCTCGATCCCAGGACCTGGGATCATGACCTGAGCCGAAGGCATTTGCTTAACCAACTGAGCCACCCAGGTGCCCGAGTTACATCTTTTTATATAGTTGGGATGACCCTGAATCTAACTCATGTGGTAAGAGGATACCAGACTTTTTATGTGAGGACGCTGAGAAGTGGTTCATCTGAATAAATCAGGCCTGGATATACTATAATCCTTGTTCTTGCCTTTTGAAGATAATTATGGATTCATGGCATTCAGACTAATTAGTTTTAATTAATTGTAATCATGATTGATGAAGGATACTTCTATGTGGGCTCCTGTGTGCCTTCAGCACCCCCAGAACATGGAGAAGCACCCCTGCCTTCTCACAATGACATAGTCCAAGCCCGTAGTGCACCTTCCCTGCCCCGAAACACAAAACCAGCTATTCTCCAGAAAGCCCTCATTCCCTGGGGGTGGAGAAGAGTATCCGTGACTGCATTTTTAGTATCGGGGACACCTCTTCAATTACTGCATGCTAATTTTTGGTGCAAAACTGTTTAATGGCTACCTAAGTGATCAGGTAGAAATGATCGATTTTGAAGAGTGTGAGTTCATATTGCTATTTCCAATTTAGCTCTAACAATACTCTATAACAGATGTCCTCAGCAAATATGGCCTGCCTGAGCGCTTGACCTGGCCCACCACTTGTTGTTGTAAATAAAGTTTTATTGGCACACAGCCATGCCCATTCATTTGCAAGTTGTCTGTGCCTGCTTCCCAGCTTCCAGGACAGATTTGAGTAGTTACCATGGAGCCCCAAAGGGCAGGCAAATCCCTTTACAGAAAACATTTGCAGGGGTGCCTGAGTGGCTCAGATGGTTAAGTGTCTGCCTTCGGCTCAGGTCATGATCCCAGGGTCCTGGGATCGAGCCCCGCATTGGGCTCCCTGCTCAGTGGGGAGCCTGCTTCTCCCTCTGCCTCTGCCTTTCTCTCTCTCTCTCTCTGACTCTCATGAATAAATAAATAAAACATTAAAAAAAAGTCTGAAACTGCTAAAATAAAAATTATTAAAAAAAAAAAAAAACATTTGCAGACCCTCCTCAATAGATACCTACCTAGGGGTGCCTGGGTGGCTCAGTCGTTAAGTGTCTGCCTTCGGCTCAGGTCATGATCCCAGGGTCCTGGGATCAAGCCCCACATCGGGCTCCCTGCTCCACGGGAAGCCTGCTTCTCCCTTCTCCCACTCCCCCTGCTTGTGTTCCCTCTCTCACTGTATCTCTCTCTGTCAACTAAATAAAAAAATCTTAAAAAAAAAATAGATACCTACCTAGGTTTTTAGCCCCTCACCCAAAATATAATTTTACCTTTTTCTTTTATCATTTGGTGAACCATGTAAGTTTCTGAAGATCCTGATTATAACTTGTGTAATCTCATATTTATTTTATCTGTCAGCATAAAATACAAGGACAGACCCTATTAGTAATATCAACAGTCTCTACAATCCCTGTGGGTTGGAAATTAAGATCTAAGATCGCAGGAGCTATGGAGGTGGGTGTGAATGACTGGCCTGCTGTTTGGTTCAGGGACTGGGCATGTGACCAGTCCTGGCCAATGAGTGTGTATGAGATTCCCAAGGATGCTGTAACAAACTATCACCAGCACATTTACTCTCTGACAATTCTGGAGGTCAGAAGGCTGATGTGGCCTCTCATGGGGCTAAAATCAAGGTGCAGTGCTGGTTTGCAAACGGGCCCCTGTACACACGCTGGGCAAGGAGAAACTGAAGGAAGGGATGGGCCATTCCAGATGGGTAGATGGGTTTAAGAGCAAGGGAACATTCTTCCAAGGCTTGTCTAGCGCACTGCACCCGCCTGCCCGAATCTTAAAGCTTATATAAAGGCCTGAACTGAGTACCATCCAGATGGTCGGTCTCAACACCGCCTCACTGTCTCAAGGCTGTATCCTTGGGCAGCTTCTAACGCAGGGGAGGCCAGGGGACCACACCTTCCCAGCACAAGGGAGGAGGATGGAGCCTCCAAGTGCCCGGGTCCAGCTCACAGGTCGACCAGCACCACAACCTCTCAACGCCCCCTCCAACAGGTAGACAGGGTTGGCTCCTTCTGGAGGCTCCCTGGGAGAATCCATTTCCTGCCCTTCTCCAGCTGCCTCTGTGGTTGTCTCATTCTGACCTCTGCTTCCATTGCCCTGTCTCCTCCAACTCTGACCCTCCTGCCCACTCTTATAAGGACCCTTGTCAGATCATTGGACCCTCTGGGGAATACAGGGTCACCCTCATTGAGGCTCCTCAACTTAATCCCATCTGCAAGGTGCCTTTTGCCATGGGAGGTAGCAGATGTACAGATTCTAGGGATTAGGACATGAACATCTTTGGGGGGTGTTATTCTGCCCCCCACAGGGGGAATGGAATGCTCTCGATCTTCATAGAGGCTCCTGGTGCACTGATGTGTGCATTCGTTAAAGCTCAGCAAATGT